CGCTCGGCGAACGTCGCTGTGCCGTGGCGGGTGCTGCCACGCGCTCTCCTCGGCACCGGGAAGCTGATGGGGAAACCCCGCCCTCGTGGGGAAACGCGACAAATGAGCACAACGCGTTGGCGAGAAAGCCGAGCGGGCAGCGGCCGTTTCAGCTCAGTGGCCACGGAGCGCTTCAGCACCAGGCGACATTTCAGAAACGGCCGGAAGGTGATGAAGGGGGAGCCGTGGGGTCGGCCGAGGGAGGGTGTTCCTGGCGGGGGGACGGCGAGGCAAAGGCCCGAACGTCCCCGGGGCTCACAGGAGGGCATGGGGCCACTGCGGCCGGGTCAGAGCGAGCGCAGGGGGCTGGGACCCGCGGGCCAGACGGCCCCTTCTCACGGCTGCCACCGGCACGGCACGTAGCCTTCCTCTCCCCGCCAAGGAAACCGGACCCTCCCCTCCTCCCTGAGCCCCGTGGCCTGTGCGACGGGACAGCGCGGGCCAGATGGGCGGCTCGTCTAGCTCGCTTGTCGGGGGGCCGTTTCACTTCCCGAATGGGGCACGGACATCCGGCCGGCGGAGCCGATCATCTCAGCTTGCTGGGACCCACGCCGGGGAGAACCACGCTGACTTCGTCACAAAGTGGACAACGTACAGGAGGAAGCCAAAGACAGAAACGTTCCGTGAGGGGCGTGTCACTGACGCCGTGAGCGTGGAGATGAACCGACGGCTGGCGGGGAGGCACGTGCGGCCGAACTGCCCACGGCGCGTGGACACAGAAGTCCGGTGGGCCGGCCCGTCTTAGTGGCCGTGTCCCCCGCTTATGCAGGGTCATCTCCCGATGACCCACACCCGTCTCTCAGGAGTTCCCACGTTGTCAGAGCCCAGTCTGCGGGCCCCGCAGGGCGCTGGCTGTCAACCAGCCACGCTGCTCAGACACGCTGGTCCCCCCGTGTGCCTACGGCAGTGCAGGCCGGAGGCAGGGGACGGAGGGCGCAGGAGGGGACAGAGACGTGAAGGAGGCTGGCGCAGCCCCGAGCATATTCTGGAACGTGGCCAGGGGAGGGCGAGGACGGACAGCCTGGAGGGCAGAGAGCAGCTCACCGGGGGAGGTGAGTGCGGGTTTCCGGCGCGGTCTCAGCCGTCTGTGCTGGGAAGCGGGCCTGTCTGACAGCCATCCCTTTCCAGAAGGATACGCCGTCGTCCGCGCCTTCACAGACTAGAGGGACAGACCTCCGAGGCCGTCGACTCTGCACCATGTGGGGAAACAGCCACTTTCCGACGCTGGCTCCCTGCTGGGGTGACGCTGAAGACAGCATGACCCAGAGACCGATGTCACACGTCTCGTCTGCGTGCAGCTCGTCCCTCATTCTCGACCCACTTGGGGTGCGGGCGGCGAACCCAACAACCCCAGGCCCCTGCAATTAAATGGGACGGGCCCGAGGCAGCTGAGCCAGATGAAGTTAGAGCAGCACTGGTCACCTGTCTGTGGCACCTGGATGGAGCGACTGCCTCATTTCCCAGGGCTTCACCTGGCGGCTGACTTCTCTTGGCTTGGAATTTCACCAAGACTTTACTGAGTTCCCAGGAACTTCAAGTAAAACTTAAACATGTAAGAATGTGACAACGCGATGCTTCTTCATGGAGGCACGAGAAGCCAAGCAGCCTCGCTCCACGGGCGAGGGTGAGGTGAGGGGACGCAGGCCTGCCCGTGCCCGTGCCCGTCCCCGTCCCCAGCATCCGAATGCGGGCTGAGCCCAGGAGCCCCTCCCCACGGCGCTCACTCCTCCGCCGGGTGCCGGCAAACACCCCTGAAGGAGCTGCCTGGTCCTCTCTGCACAGCCCAGGACACACCAGCACACACACCTCCTGGCCGGCGGCCAGGGGTCGAGGGCAGCGAGGCTCGGCACCGCGCGGGAAACGGGTGCAGCCTCGGAGCTCCGTCCCCGTGTGCCCCCCGCTCTGCCCTGGGGTGCGGCATAAGCATCTCAGCAGCCACGTTTCTGATGTGGGGATCCAGAGGCTGACTGGTGCGAGAGGCGCCGGGCAGAGCTGATGGACAGACAGGTGCCCGGAGAAAAGCAACCAGCCCAGCCAGGACCCCGGTTGCCGTGAGCACAGCGCCACCTGCTGGCAGAACTGCGCCGGCACGCGGCGGAGACGGCGGTGCCTGTGCCGGTGGCTGGGTGGCGGGAGGGGGCACTGAGGGCTTGGTCATCTGCAGAGTCACTGCTGTCCAGGCAAAGGCAGAGGCAGGAAACCCTGCTTTGTTTCCTGCTGGAATGTTCCCCAGTGAGAAGCCGGGTTACAGGCTGCGGGGAGCCCTGGGGCATCCAGGCCCTGCTGCCCTCGCGGGTCGTGACTCTACACTCGCGCGCCGGCATCGGGCGGCTGTCCATCACCCCCTCTTGCAGAAAGTGAGAATCAGTCCTTAGACAACAGATGAGGTTAAGCAGATTTGCCAGCCACCTGCCTGTGTCAAAAAACAACTCGATAAAAATAACTTACATCAAATTAAATCAGTCGAAGGCAATACTTCCACGGACAAGCTGCAGGAACACGCTTTTAAATATTCTCCGGAAAAAGCAAACCTTGGTGCATACTCTTAACCGCCACTGAAACTGCAGCAAAGAATCGATACGAATTCGCACCACGCACTGCAGAGTTCAAGGCCAGGCCGCTCTGGGAGGAAGGGCCCTCAGACTGAGTATTCCTGGCGGGCGAAAATAAACTCTGACCACGACAACTGACAGCTTTCGACGGAAAAGGAACGCTACGCTAAATGGACACGTGGACGATGACCGGCACCCTAATTTCAGACACCGAACCTGGAGAATCGAGCCGACGACAAATGCTGCCTCTGGGTGGGAGTCATCACGGCGACCTTTCTGCGTCCTGCCTCCTGGTTCCTCCCAGTTCACCTGACCAACACCTATCACGCTTAAAAGGAGGAAATACGTGAACCCTGAGGAGCGGCAGGGGCTGGCACTATGGCCGCTTGAAGCTGGAGCCACTTCCTGTGAATTCTAACGACAGCCTCTGGTTGAAGAACTCGGCTGTTTCCCCACGAAAGGACAGCGACGCCCTGTTTTGTCCCAGCATCTCAGCTCCCAGACCGTGAGGTGCCTCAAAACATCACCTCCTCCTGATTTACAGAAATGAGGTGCTGCCGCGGGCCCAAAGTCCGCACTTAGAAACCTCCTGTGACCCGGGGAGTGTCCCCAGGGCGATGTGACGACCCCATCGTGTCCTGTGTGGGCTGGCGAGCCTTCCCTGGGTAAAACGTCACTCGGAAGTGGCTTAGATGGTCCGCAGGGCCTGCTCCCGATCTGCTCACAGCAGCGTGCGGGCGCTGGCCTGGGGCCTGGAGCTCGGGCCCTCCTCGGAGTCGCCAGCTACGAACACCGGCCGCTCTCACTGCGGCAGCCCCGGGCGGAGTGGACGCCGGTTTGCCACACGGCCTACCTCGTAAACGCGTCGCGGACGGCGTGGTTGAGCGCGCGTTCATCCCGGGAGAACCTCCCGTGCACTATCAGCAAATGCAGCAGCAGCATGAGGGCGTACGCGCAAGCGTCTCTGCAGAAAGAAAAATTAAATGAGCACCCTCACCTGCCGCGTGTGCAGACCCAGCCGCGCAGCCCAACGGAGCCGGGGTTTGGTCGCTGGGTGGAAGTTTCTGTTTGAGGGTGAGGTGTGTGCTGAGGTTCATGTTTTTGCACATTGGCCTCCGATTTTTCCAGAACCGGATTTGAAAACCACTCTCGGATGAGCTACCTTTGTGCTTTTTCCAAAAACCAGCTGGGCGTGGTTGTGCGGCTGTATTGCGGGCCGTCTGTCCTGTCCCTGGCCTACGTGTCTGTCCTCACCGACCCCCGGCCCCTGCTCCCTGTGGCTTTATGCTAAATCCCGAGGTCGCATAGTATCAGCCCGCCGACTTGGTTCTTCTTTCTTAGGATTGCTTTGCTTCCCACGTAAGTTTTAGAATCGGTTTGTCCGCATCTGTGGAAAAGCTTGCCGGGTTTCGGTTCGGAAGAACAGACACGTTGGCAGTGCAGAGCGATCCGTGGATGCAGCCGCCCTCTCCAGCTCCTCGTCCCCGAGCTGTTGGGCACGCGAACTCTGCGGGTTCTCAGACATCGGTTTCTAAGTTCTCAGACGTGGTTTCTTGGAGCCGCCGTTGACGGCGTTGCTTTGCCGACTTTCAGTTCCCCCGGCCTGTGCCGGCGCCGGAGCGCACGGCGTCTGTCCGGCGGCCTGGCTCAATGCACCTGCTAGTTCTTGGAGCCTGTCCCGCAGGTGGTTCAGGAGTTTCCGCACCCACCACCCACGGCATCTGCCGACGGGCTGTGTCGTGTCTCCCTTCGAGTCTGTAAGCGTCTCGTTCCTTTCTCGTGCCCACGGCAGTGGCTAACGCTCCCGGTGTGAGCGGAGTCGCGGGTCTCACGGGTACGCTTTGCGAGTTTGGGGAGGTTCTCGGAGTTTGTTTTTCTCCCATGCGTGAATGTTGCATTTTATTAAATGCTTTTTCTTCTCCTGAGACGCTCGCATGGTCCTTCTTAGTTCGTTCTACGGCGAATCGCGTCAGCTGCTCCCTCCTCCTGCGGCCCCCGCCGTCTCTCTGTGGGTTTCGTGTTTATTTGTCTGGCTGCCGGGCTGTGGTCCCACCGCCTTCTCCCCGTGCGGACCCCGTGCTGGGTGCTCTCACGGGGACCTGCACGTTGGCACAGAAGCTCGCGCAGGTCGGGACCGGGGCGTTTGGGTAGATGACGTCCCGGGGGACGCGTTTCCATCAGGACAGACAGAGGGGCCGGTTCTTTCTCTGTCACGTTGCGTCGTCGGTGCTTAGACGCGTCGTCCGGCAGAGGCCGCAGAAACGGTCAGGCTCCCGTCGTCCGCCTTCGTCTGGCGGCTGAACACTCTGTGCAGAGAAACGTCGCGCCCCCCTCCGCCTTCTCCCAGGGCGGCGTTTGTCCAGGGAGCACGGGACCAACGCCTCGTCACGTCTGAGAAAGCTGCGTCCCCAGCGTCCGCCGACCTGGCCAGGCGTCTGTCCTCACACACTGTGCAAGCCAGCAGCTCCCTCGGGAAACGCGGAACTCCCAGCCCTCGACAGACTCCAGCGGAGTTTGTGGGGAAGGTTCCGCTGGTGAGGGGACAGGCTCCCACGCAGGTCGGCCCGCACCCCATGAGGCGGCGTGGGTGAGAGAGGCGTCCGCGGGCCGGGCCGGGGAAGCTCGCCGTGAGCACGGCCTCTCTCAGCTGTGGGGTTTCGCTAGAAACCAGGCCGACTGGGCCCGGAGCACCGTGCGCATCCGCACGCGTCACCGGCTACCTGGCTGCCCCGGGCGGCAGGCTTTGTCTCACGCATCCCGTGCCCTCGTGCGCCCCGCGTGGAGAGGCGGAAGTCGGCGGCCGGTGGGGC